TAGGCCCTCATTTACGAGTCAGCTTTCTGCTGGGCATAAATATAAGTGTTTCCTTTGCGTTGCAGTAGAGTGTTGCTTCGGTTGGCATACCTAAATACACCGTCACAAATATGTGACGTGGAATGCAACCTTATTTATTCCAATTTGTAACGCTTTGAAAAAATGTAGCGTCAGGGCTGCAGTGATGGGAATTTCAAAGCCCTTTTTCGCCTCTCAACATCAGACATTTTACCATTTAGGTGGTAAGTTAAGAGAGAAATGGTGTGTTCAAAGCAAAAGATGTGACTCATGGTGCTTAATTTGCATTTCACGTTCGATCATCTTTAATAAAATCTTAATAGGAGAAATGTTACTAAAATGGTTGCTATTTTAACACTATTTTGGTTTTCTGCACAAGTTTCCTTTGAGTATGTGTTTGTACATGGATCGAGCTGAGGAAGTAACCTGCAGGGGCACCCTCTTCTCATTATCTTCCTTCCAGCCTAAAAGGTTGCTTAAATTTAAGATTTCTCTTTAACAAATGGTTTACAGAAGAAAAGATGGGATGGGTACAAGCCCAGATTGCGCATAAGATCCACTGGTACTTTTTAACTACAGAAGACGTTCGTATTAAGAGCTTCAAACTGCCTTCATTAAAAAAAAAAACTTTTAAAACTATTTCTCTGATCATTGACGATGTTTTAGAGGCATCCGCACTTTGTATACGAGTTGCTTCACACTTAATTTGCTAAAAACGCGTCATAATTATGCACTTTAAAACTCCTAACGCTCCTTCCATTTTCCAGGATGAATTGATAAATAAGCAAAATTACTTGCAATTGGAGGCTCGTCGTGCACCACAATGACGTGAGTTTCGTACTTGGAGGTGCGCTACGGACTTCAGCGCTGAAGGCATCTACTCTGAAGTCTTGTACTGTTAGTAGGCAACCATATGACTTCAAATAGCGATTTTCATGCCTCAGGATTTCATCATCTATGAGGAAACAAGTACGGAACTTAGACAAAGAGAAAGCTACTAATAAGTCATGTGGCTTTTTAAGTCATTTGTTTCCATCTGGACTACTATTGCAAATCATAATTCTCTCCTGCTTGATTCGTTGCAGTGCTGTTGAAAGCAAAGTGTAACCTCAAAAAGTATCAATGTCTTCATTCACCGAGAGCGCTAACGTCGGCAGAGCGAAGGGGAAATATTGACCATAATAAAAGGAAGGAGAAAAAATGCAATAGACACAACTTGGGAGGTGCGGTATGGGAATAAAGAGGTATAGTTTACTTTTCCTTAACTAACTTTGCCATAAGGATGCCACATCAGCACCATGTGCGAATTATTTTAAAAGAATTCAATTATGTACAAAGTCTAAAAGCCAATTGGAAGTAAAAATGATAGGATTTGTTGTAGAAGAATAAGTTTTAAACATTAATAGATGGTAAAGAAATACAGACAAATAATAGACTAATTGGTTACTGTCAGGTTTCCTTAGTCAATTAAGTGGGGATACGACACCGCAAGGAGAAAATAGCTAACGTAGGATTTTGAAATAATTTCCTCTTTAACATAATTTCTTCAACTGATCGGTCCATTTGAGGTAATTTTCTATTTGTTTGACTGCACGGTAAATAAAACTTCGTAGAACGACGTTTCGCTGATCGAGTTCCACTCTGCAAAAATATATTACAGCCTACAAATAGATCTGAAAGTGATTAGTTTAGTAAAATATTATAAGGAGACAGAAAAACACAGAAGCTGAGAATAATGTTTGATTATTAGGACCGCATACACATTAAAGTCGACATTGACAGTGAAGTGATTTTTAAATTTTCACACAGGCCATGAAATATGAGCACCTACACTTGCTTGTGGAGAGTCAGCCCTGAATTACTCCCCCTGGGTGGACATAATGTATACATTGGTACAGGCGTTGCTATTTTACTATGATTTATTAAAAATATTAACGAAAATGTATTAACATTCACCAGACAAAACGTCACAATTTCAGCAACAAAGCACTTTTAGTCTTTGTTTATTCAAAGTAATAATCTAATTTTACAATTTAAGTAGTACGAACTATTTTTGTTTTTTGATACACGCACCATCGTGGAAGCATCAATGAGGATATCAGCGGTTCTTATTTATTAAGCTGTGCTACAATTTACTGGAGTTTTTGGATTCTGTAGAGCGGCAGGGAGACTAGGTGGAGTGTCATATCGCCTTTTTGGATCTAACACTAGTACGTGCATTGAGTCAGAGTAAAACGCAAACTTGGACAATTTAATGAATGAACAGCTCAGCATGCAGCAGACTATCTGGTGTTTATCTTTGACTGGTCATGGCATTCACAAAGCCACACACTCCTTTATTAAGGCTTTTAGTTTATTGGTACACAATAAAAGTAAACAAGGGATGAGAGAGTCCTTTTGTTTACAAATGGGCACCTGGAATCACTAATGGTCTAAATGGTATCCAGATGGGTGATACCTTGACTGGGTAATTCGTCTTTTGACGGTATCTAACCTAAAAAGCAAATTTATTTGTTACATTCTCACACATTATTAAATGCAAGGTGGCTTGCAACAATTGCCAATTGAGATATTGCTCTTCTGACACTTCTGCAGTTATCGTTATGAATAAATCAACTCTCCTTCTTCTAACTTCCACAGATTCCAATTTGCACAATTTGCATATCATTTTTATTTACCAATGGACCATAAAACCCTTCCATGAATGGGTAGGGGTAGACATTTTTACAATCAATAGATGCACTTATCTGCCACTGCTATTTATCCCATAGATACAGGTATCCGACCACTGCCGACATTTACGAACCGGCCCTTCTTTACGCCTCAGTTGCGTCTCACCTAATTTACCCAACCTTTCAAAGGAATGCACCTAAAAGTGCTGAAACCCTTGTCATATTTTTGAGTCATTCGATAAGAAGGATAAAAATGCACGAGAGCTGGCGCTCCTTGTGTACTAGAATGGCATGCGCATCGCGATTCCAGGTGCGTTCCGCACCAATGCAGAGGTATTCGCCCTAAAGTCCATTCCTTCTTGAGCTTTCTGCTCCACATAGCAGTTATACAGTCAAAATCATCACAGCAAGGTCACAACAAGGTTGAAACTAAATGGCGATTTGCTAAGCTCTTCTGCTCAATCAGCAGTGTTATAATTTTGTCTCTCACATTTGGCTACAATAACATTAAGAAAATGGCCCATGCTTACTATCAATAGTGAATCAAGAGTGTATTATAAAGCCAAGACTAACATCATTTACACCAAATCCAAGATGGAGCACTTACAAAGAGGATATTACAAGTAAGTTAGGCAAGTTTTATAAGCTAATTGTTTCAACTTAACTACGACTACACAGCGTAGCCCTCTCCAACTTGACTCCTCTTAGTGCAAGTGAAAGCAAAAGTCACCAACAAAATAGTGTCCACGTCTCCCCTTATAAAGAACAGTAATATCGGCAGAGTAAAGGAGAAATAGTTGTTAGAAGAAAAAAAAAGAGAAAGAATGCAACAGACGCAACTTGGGAAGTGTGATAAAGGAGAGGTATGATTCACTTCTCGCCTAGCTACTTTCGCCACGAGGGTACTGTTCCAACACCACAATATTTAAATGCTGACTACACGGAAAGAGGTAAAATTAATTCACCATCATTTTTCTGCAAACACAGGTTCTAAACCATGGTATGAGCACAGTATTCCTGGTATAAAAATATGCAGGTGCCAAGCACAGAGTGAGCAGCAATAAAATTAGACACCCGGTTGTGAACAGGGCAAAACTGGTTGCCCTTGACATTAGCCAGGGCAAGCAAAAGCATGAGCTCAATCAAGCTTTGGAAGATAACCTTTTCACTTACACCCGTTTCCTTCAAACAAAAACAGGCGTTTTTTGGTGGAAGTGAACCCAAAGAAAGGCCTTGATGTCATGCAAAATAATCATTTTTTGAAGATGGTTTACGTCAAATGGTCAAATTGTAATATTTTGCTTTAATCACAGATAAGCCAACCTTTGGAAAGGAAAGTTGCCAGCGCTTCTTTAATGTCATTTGGAAAGACAATGTGAAAGGTTTTTCGCGAAGGACTGAAGTGCTCCTATGTAACTTACTTCATTTCACTATTGGAGGAGAATCCACATGTCTTCGCTACTTAGTGATTCCCTAAAATGCTGAGGTAAAATGGTGTACGCACGCCTAGGGCTACCTAATCTTGCAACTTAGATAAATAAGATCTGTCGTTGTGCAGCAACACTTATCACCTGCGTGGACCAACAACAGTCGTTTTGACAATTGACCTATGCAAATTCCTCAGCACGGCGTGTATTGATAAGTAATTTGCCAGCATTAGTCGCACGCAGGGGTTTGTCTATTGTATAGCTTTAAAGATGAACTCATCCATCTTGGATGAAATGTTTGACGCACAAATTGAATGCTTTCAAGTGTGGCTGCTGTGGTGAGTGTTTGATACCCCAACAATAGGGGCATTTGTAATTTTTTGTGAGTTCCTTGCCCGCAATAACGCCTTTGCAAAGCACATCCTGTTGTATCCACACAACCCAAATGTGTTCTGCCTTTTTGAGTGCCAATGTTAGAAGCCGTCCAGGGTGCTTGTGTCAGCCAACTGCAATAAGACATGCTTTACACCCAATGCTGCATGATGTACCACCGAGGAAAAACTCCCCTTTATATACTTGAATTTAAAGGCTCCAAATACGCAAATAAATGTGATTACATAGCCAAAATCTAAATGATCACGTATTTGATCAAGTTGTCCTTTGTTTAACACTAAACAGTGAAAATCAAAAGTGCCTATACTGATGAACTGTAATCATACCCCCTCAGTTGCGATAACAATGACGCAAGACTCATTTGACCACTCTGCAACCACAAATTTGTTTCACTGCATATGATGTCACCTAAAAGTACCTTTAATTTTATCAGATTAGGTAACGGCGTACAACGATTTACTACCTTCCTTGAACATTACAAAGCCATTAGGCTCATAGTTTTAATGCGGAGGAGGATGCTCGCCTTGTAGACCATGTATATACTAAAACCTTTTTTTCAACAAAGAAGCTAATTTTGCACATGCAGAATTTTCCAATTTTCCCTTTGCCTGTTTTGCTGCGCCACCTTGCAATTTTGGCAAGTAAGTGAAACAATTTAAGGAAGACTTATACCATTTAAGAAGAATATAAGCACTTTTGGCAACAAGTATACATGTTTGACGAAAATTTCACAAAAATAGCAAAAGTACAATAGCTGACGTAGTTTCAGCTCATAGTGTGCAAAATAATTCAAAAACACCTCAACAGCACTTAATCTCAATGTGTAGATGGATCTCCCTTTCCCTCTCACTCGCTTCTCTGTAGAGCGGAACTGTTCGACTAAAACCAGGGATTGAAAGGTGTTAACGGTGCTGGACAGCTGAATGTGCACTACTGATCAAACTCAATATCAAATTTAAATGCGAAATGCAAATTTTACTCCATCCGAATGTGCAAAATTTTGATTGTGTGTTCGGCACGTCAGCTAATCTAAGCGGACACCCAAGGATCCGTCATGGACTCCCAGCACTGCCTGTAGCCTCTCAGCGATCCCCTACATCGATGATAAACTTACTGGCCCACTACTTGGACGGCTTCTACCTCAGGATAGACACGAACTATCATACTGGTAGTTGGCTAGAATTGTTGATTCTATATCAAAATAGCCAACAATAAGCATTGCAAAGTGTATTTGCCAGTAACGAAGACTTATTAATACCATACCTAAATAAATAATTCCTTAAATGGCTCTTTACCTCCCACAGCATATGAACTCAATATGTTGACAATGCTTCTTTTTTTTCCGCTTCAACTATGGTCGGGCTAAAGACACTGTTTGTGATTAAACTATTCCGGTGACAAATGTAAAGATCTTCGGAACAAGATAAGCAGTTACGCTATAAGGGAATGCTCCCCCGTAAACTAGGTTTTCAAAAGACTTGATAGAGAGAATAGTGCCCTAACCGGCTCTATTATGTGACTAGCCTAAGTTGCCTTACAAGTGAAGGCAGTCATGCGACGGAGTGAATTCATTCATTCCACAAGCTGTCACATTTCATACGCCTTAAATGTGTCAGGTCATACTTCCTCTGCATGAAGTCTTAAGTAAGGCTTGTAAAATGTACGTCAATGCAGCATTTATTTGCTACCCTCAGATCTCATGCACGACATCATAATGCAGTTTCGGAAAAGTGCCAAAGACTAAATATCTTCTATAAAAATTACAAACCTCTCACTCTCAAACGAAATTTAAATGCACCACAAGGAAATTTAAGGGTGATTGTGTGTGTCTGCTACCCAGGCAGTTAAGTGTGTTATGAAATCAGTAGTGCTAAAGTGGTGTACCTTAAATGCCAGGGAATTTAGGGTTGCCAAAGTCAATGTCATATCCCGGTAGTTCCAATGGAAACGTCATGTCGGCCAACAGCACCGCAGAGAATAAAAAAGCGTTGTACTACTTAAAAGGGCCATTGCCCTACTCGAGTGTAGCCATCCCGTATCCATCCCACCATCCTTTTATCTTTCTCCCTATTGATCGGCGTCATTAATCCTCAGTGACCCTTATTCTTCATATATTAACGAGGCCACTGTAAAAGCCGGTGACATACTAGCTTCAGTCATCATTACTTTGTGTTGAGTTATACCCACAACCGATCGTAACCAGTTTATGGACATTAAGATCGCAGAGGCGCCATCAGTCTTTCCCACTAGCCTTTCAACAAACAATTTTTGTCAGATAACTGCCCATTTGCAAACTATGTAATTGTGGGTTTAGAGAAAGTATGACATGGCTTCGATGGACAATTTGCTTAAGAAAGGTGTCCTTTTTATGTGATGGGTAGATTATTTGACAGGCAATTAAATCTGAATGATGGCTAAATTGGACCTGTTTCTTAGACTACCACCACCAGCACCACCGGCGTGACTCGTATTTCCTCTCCGCATCTAAGGACTCCATGAACTTACAGGCTCTCACAAATCAATCAAACTGCACAGATGAGGTAATAGACTATTCGATGAAGCATTTATTGGAGCACACTATGAGAACAAGAAGATTATTCCAATTGCGAAGAATAGGGGTCCATGTAAACAAAAGAAATCACAAATAAGCATAACTTTGTTTAAATAATGGAGCACATTCGGCAAATTCATGAGTAGAAAAGAGGAGTGAGTTGTTTGTTTGGTCTCTCAAAGGTACTTAACTGGTCCAACATCCATCATTCCCTTTTATACACCCATATAAATCCAAGCGCTTTTGACAGTCTCTCAAGAACAAACATTTGTCCTTTTAGAGGTAGTACAACAGCACTTGTAGTGATAACTCATCTACTAAAGGGATATAACATCTTGGTTCTAGTGTTGGTTTCCCAATCAGTTGTGTGCCTGTCTAAAATCAAGAATGTGGAAAGGCTATTCTAAATGTTGAAAGTATCACTAGATGAAAAAAAATGTTGTGCGAGCTTTAACAGCCTTATCGTAACAACTAAGACGGATTGATTTGGACATCTCTAACGACCAGAAAGTTAACGCATTTTCAAGTCGGATATGCTCAAATGCCTTTTGAAGGCTTACAAAGTGCAGGCTAATATTAATGAGTATCAATGTGTCTAACATTTGTTAGCTCATTAACGCTGGCTTTGCACTATTGGAAAGAGTCGGTTCGGTAAAGGAGAGCACACATACAGCACTTACTTTTACACCTATAGAACGCCATTTAAGTACCATTGAAAATGTCATATATGCCGCCTATTTAGTGCAAAAGATTTCAAATGTGGAGTGCATTTGTCAATCTCTCAAAAAAATATCCCAATTTCTCGTTCTAGTAAGGTATTATGATGTACACTTCAGTTAATGCTTTTTCGTCACGAGTGTAAGGAAGTCCAATAATGCAACTGGATGGAAAAGCAAAGGTTACTCAAAGTAGGGGACGAACTTAGGTTTTAAGTACTATGGGCGTCTGGAATGCGCCTAATGGTACAAGTTCCAAGGATATTTCGACTAAAAGGCTCAAGGTTTCGGGTATTTATTTACATTAAGTCGTCTCACAAACGACTTGATTGAGCCGCAAATCTCATAATATGGAATTAGCATGCCTGTTTTCCATGAATGGCCTTATCCTATCGTTTATTGATTGCAAATCAATGGGTGAAAAGTCAATTTTACTACTAAAGGGATATAATACTTTGGCTCAGAGGTAGGTATTTCCTTTTTTTCCTCCTAAACTAGGCAGTTTGATGCCAGTCAGAAGTTAGGAATGCTGAAAGGTATTTAAAATGCAGGTGTTGTCGCTTTGACGGGACGTCGCCATGCGTGTTATTACCGCCTCATCAGCATAACCATAACCCAGCGATTTGGATGCCTCTAGTGACCAGAAAGAGGCAATTTCTAATGGAGCATGCTTAAGTTGTTTTGCACAACTTTGAAAAGCTTAGAAAGTGCAGGTCGTTGTTTATTTGCAGAGATGTGCTAGACATCTGTCATTTCAACTTTGCTATCTGTGTGCTATTTGAAAGGATCAGTCCTTCACATGTAAGCTTCCCTTTCATTTGCCCATCCCATATACATTCATTTATTATTCTTTAGCTAGAACCACCCCAATATACAGTTTAAATTTAACTTTGTGGGTGATTCCAAATGTTTTTATTTTGCAAAAAAAGCCTTTTACTTGGTGTACAGTCCAAGCAATTTATAATTTAGCTTTTTTGATTTATACAAATGCTCTTCATATATATTATGCAGTAGCAGATGGCAAATGGCTTTGGTAAATTGTTTGTTGACAGACTGATTAGTAGGAAGAAGTGACCTTGGAGGGGTAATCTTACGTAATCGAGCCTGTCATTGTCTGACTTCAATGACTTTTAAGGCAACCACTGCATCACCCCGAGCCGAGAAACTGGGCCGAGGTGTTAAAAGACTTCAAAATAAATTCGATGTTTTTGGAAGAAAGTCATTTTAGATAAATAGTTGGATTTAATTACATCAATAGGAAGGAAGTCCTCCTCTGATCCAACTTTTCATTCTTGGCGGTAAAAGGAATTGGGTTTCTATCAGCGAAAAAGAAGGATAGGGAGGAACTGCCTCCTCCACCTCCTTCACCTTATTCCCTAACTGATGCTTTCTAAAGCAAAGATCACCCTTTTTGGGGTTCGGCAATTTCACGCAAAATCGAAGGACGGTGGGAATAAAAGTGAAAAAATTTTCCTTTCGATTTTATGCACTAGATGCTTTTTAAAGAAAACCCTTAAGCAAACTTCAGTAAGAAAATTACCTTTAGGAAATATTACTCCCATTTACTCATTATTGCCATGACATTGCTGAAGTTAACTTCTGGTGACCAACAATATGCATTACTAACATAAAATATAGTGGGACCTCATCATAGAGTTGTTATTATATAAATGGGTTTTAATCCTGACTAAACTTTCAGTTTTCTACTACTAAATTACCGTAGCATCTCGAGATCCAAATTAAGATGAAAGCATGCAACACTGCAGCAGAAAATGCATTTTGGCCTACTTAAGGGAGAAGGGGCTACTGACATGACCCGGAGGCCACACTACTTAGTGGAAGTGCAAAGGCAAAGCCTTGGATGGTTGCACAACAAAAATTAAGAAGCGCTTTTTCAAGTTAGCAATTTGGCCATCAAAGCGCAGTCAGCATTATAAAACACCCACAAAACAACTGTAGTGCTCAAGAGATCTGGAAAATCAAGGTAATTGTCCTCTGGCATCAATGTAGCAAGCCCTATTTTCCCTAAAGCCTAAAGAACTACAGTACTAGCATAGAACACCTATTGCCAATGTGTGGAAGGGCTGAAGGTCTTGTGGCATGATTCAGAGGCCGTGTCACCCACTGGAGGTACAAAGCTGAACCTGAAGCGACCGTGTAGCCAAAACAAAGTTAAAAGCCTTTTAAATGGTTTTATTCCTAAAAAGCTTTTTACTCCGCCTATTTGGACACTTCACGTCTGGCAATGCATTCCCCATTGATTTCCACCGTTGTGAATGCGGTGGATGTGACAAAATATAATTTCAGCTCCTAAAGCACTTTTGCCTTTTATAAAATTAACTGTACTTTTATATAAAAATGGCAAACCAATTTAACTGATTTAATCGATGACATAAAACCAGGCGGTGAAATTAAAATAAACTGTGAAATTTGCCTCACTTTAGTGATTTAGCACACTTGATGGAGATATGGTGGGAGCTCACCCTAGGAGTTATCTTAATTTGCCTTATATAGGTTGACAAGTATTTCGATAAGCCTATGGATGCATTAGGACAAAACTATTTTTGAAAGGGAGACATGAAATTAATATGCCTTGAAACATGGACCCATTTCCATTACAAGTCCAAAAGCCCCGGGTTCGACGTGACCATATGTAATGGAACTGTGCAAATCTCAAACGAATGACTTAACGAGGATGTCTCCAAGCCAGAAAGAGGTATTCTCAATCAATCACTTTAAAATTTTATTCCAAGTTTTGGGACCTTGAACATTTTTGTAATATTTCAAAACTTCTCCTCGTCAAGTTCTTCCACCCATTATTAGTGTGTTTAGGCAAGCTCTGCGTGTGCTTATAAATAAATAAATAAAAAAAAGCTAAAGAGAAAGGAATGGGGCTATCCTCTAAGTCAGCATATTAACAAATCGGACATATGCATTTACGGTGCTCTGATTGTGTAGGCGTTGTAGATATTCAAGACCACTTATTCCCCAGAACTTATTCCTATTTAACCCAATTAAAATCTTGATAGTGTCTGTGATTCCGCAGTGTCACAATAATTCTTGACTTGGCATGCTTTAAAGAACTTAAAAATCACCCTCTGTAAAATTAGGGGAAAGGCTATCCTAGAGCTTTGATTAATTCAGATTCTAAGGCTGCATCGGCTTTCTGTTTTATCGGGAAACTCGAAACGGATGAACATCAGAGGAGTACACTAAGTCCATCCTAAGCAAATTCAACCACGCTCAGCGATCTTCACAGTTCAATCCTCATATCAACTCTTAATGTTTCATCATAGATTTACCATCCACCAACTTATCCATCTACTCATCTATCAGTCCACTTTGTATTAAGTAAATTCATTACAGGCCGGTAGCGACCCACTTTGTCGTATGAAGAGGTGAGCCGACTTATGCCGCTGTTTAGAAGTAGGAAGGATTACGTTTTGTCACCGCTGAGGTCCTAGAAGCACAGAGGAATAAAAGCGGATAGTTCGTGAGTCGGACTTCTCATTTAAAGATTTTTATAGATGGCTATTTATTTGTTTATCTGTAAATTGAAGCTCATAAAGTTAAGTTTTTAGTAATCCAAATAAATATAAGTTCATTTTATTAAAATAATATGCTAAATCGAGTAACTTTGGAATATATTTTCACTTTCTTGCTTGGCAGTGCATGCTTTGATGCGCACACTTTAGTCCGGCCATTGTAACAACAGCTCGTGATGGGAACGGAACAATTGATCTAATGATGATGAGGCGAGAGATTTGAAGAGCCAATAGCAACACTCCCGAACTTGCAATACTTTTGTTGGGGTTTCTTTCGTACATCGAAGGAAGTGGATTGAGGAGAGATCAGAATGCAGCTGAAAGGTGCAAAACCGAAGGTCCAGCTGCATTTTGCAGCGCATAGGTTTAAATACTGTTATCTAGTATGCTGCAACTCCCTTTATATGACGTTAATTAGTAATGCAGAAAAGTGTAGCTCAAGTTTTTATGCGAAAAAGCAGTAGTGCACTGTTGAATCCTCCCGGCTTAGTGGTAAAACAGTTCACCGTAATGTTACGTAAAACTGATGTGATGCAGTGGCACTCATCCGTGGCAGATACCTGTAACGTTTGACAGTTCCATATGAAATGAAAGAAGCCGAGTCAATCTGACAGATCTTCTCCACACACTTAAGATTGACGTATTAAGGCATCGCTCCTAGCCACATTAATGAATAATGTAATCAGTCTGAGGAAAGTTGATAGCGTAGGTGTTTAACATAAGTAGACAAACAGTAAATTTAAAGAAAATTCAAAAGCTTGGAATCTTTTTTCTAAAGAATAAATATCAGTAGGGCTTTCAGAGTATGCTAGATAAATAATGACCTTTAAAAAAATCGTGGCAGAATTTTTTAAGCATTTCTTATAAAGGTAACAATTCGGAACACCCGGACACTGTGGTGGTAAACATTATAACACTTAGGAAGGCTAGCAAACATACGGCATATTAAAGTAGTATCAAAAGGGTTTTTCTTGTAACTTTGAAGGAAAAAGCAAGCCACTAATGTACCCCTTGGGCGTGTTTGAGAGTGAATAAAGGATGTGCGATGCACGGAAACTATTTGTCTTCTAGCACTATCTCAAACTAAATCAAAATGTTATATTTGAGGTCTGGGATTGGCAAATGAATTCAGCATTGACGTGTGATTTGAGACGTTTGTTAATGTGGCTGGTTTGTATAACAAATGAAGTCACGCTTTTACTCTGTTCCCGGCATTTGCGATGCAAATTGGACTAGTCACTCACCCACCGGAGTAGATAAGGGTGCATTTTACACAGACAGGCCCTGGGCAGTCCCGATAATTCCGTCGTAATCTTTTGCAAGCATGACTCGTTGTTCTGGTGCGAGGTGCCCTGCTTTCGTCACCCACGCAGTTCGACAACTAGCAAATCTTTCATCTATCCATGGACGAAGGCTTAATGGACAGAACACATTATCCACACCATCGAGTTCACACAATGAGGGAAATGAGATGCCAATTCTATAGGCGCAACTTCATTTTTAAAACAATTTCTTGAGTTTGGATGATGCTAATTTTTTTGCGACTCACAAGTGCACTTTGTGATGTTTACAGCTGCCTATTTTGTCCAAAAAACCAATGGTTATCTTAGCCGCGTTTCGGATTAAAAGTAGATCAGTCACTCTGGCAAAGTAATACAGCAGTGCCTTTGTCTCTCTAGAGGTCAAAATGTCATGGTAATAGTACTGAATATCTATCGCCGGTGTATAGGAGGACTGAGAGGCTAAGGACAGGATTCGAAGTCCATGCTGGCTAGTAGAAGTACGATAACTGAGCCTTGAGTGCCTGCTTAACCAAATCGATGATTTGGACATACACCCAACGTATCTCTAATTTGAATGAAGTTAAATTTTTCATTTAACTAGAAAAATGATTTTAAGTTTGATCTTCCTTGCACAATCAGCCTTCCTGCAACTTCTTTAACACCTTTTATACCCCTAGTTTGGCAAAGTGGCTTCGCGGTTTTAACTTTACACATGGTGCCTGTGTCTGTCGCCTGTCCAAAGTCTGATTCCATCTGCTTTTGTTAGAGGTATTTTGATAACCTTCGAACATGTCAGCTCACGCATAAGCGAAGACGGTAACTTTACAGGTGAGAGAAGGCTCCATATTCGGATAGACTACAGGATTATAAGCAGTAATTTTTCCAATTCCTCATTTCTGTGGCTTAATATGCATCCTAACGTTAGACTCAAAATTGTGATATGAGACACCACGTCTAGTGTCCCTGCCCTTCTATAAAATCTGAAAGTACGAAAATATGGCAGCACGGATTGATAAATATAGGGATCTGACATTCTTGCTGATGTTTTTGCGGTGGCATATGTTTAAAAACATAAAATGACATGAGTGATTATACCTGTAGAAGTCAGTTGCTGCCTTGACTCTGTAAAGTTTTGCAATATATTGCAGCCAAATGCGCGAAATTCGCTTAGATGACCATAGAGGCAATTATTTTATCCGCATTTCTAACGCTTAATAAAGTGGCAGTGGTTGTGATTAGGCGAAATATCTCCACAAATAGACAGAAGTTCTAATATTTGATATCCTAATCATTTGAAAACATCAACATGTGATTTATCGGAGATAACATTACTTTCGATGACTCCTCCATCATATATACATTCCTAATAAACAAATGCGGCTATAAAAGCCACCGATTTATTCTTCAGCAGATTATTATTTGGACAAACACATCGCTGTTCACTACTCAGTGACCGACTTAACTTTCCATTTAGCTAAGCTACAAAACACAATCGACAGTGTGGCTAGGTGCAGAGGATTGTAATTCATTTTACTGGAAAAAAATCTGCATCTCCATAAAATTGTTCCATTTGGATTATTAAGTGGTTTACCTCCCACGTCTCTTGCACAAATAATCTAGATCATCGTAGACATCGCACTGTATTTCACCTATCTGAGATCACGACAGAAAGGCTTAACATTGCACTATGAACAACTACAAGATCTAGCTTAGTAAAACATTCAGTCTTCTACAGTGGCATTGCTCCGGTTTGCTCCTACGGATCGGCAGTGCTACAGGGTCTGAGCTCGCGGCTTAGGATACAATTGCGTGACGATAGTCAAATGGGTCATAAAGTTGACAAGGAAGTGAACCAAAGGCCACTTCTGAAACACATGGCACCAGTTAGTTAGTCAGAAGCCATTCAGATGCATGTAAGAATGTGATTCAAGACCTCATTTAGCAAAACTCCCCAGTGTCAATATTTGCTCTGTAGAGTGTGAGAGAGGGCTGTGCTACTTCCCCCTCGTACGCCTATTCCTCTAATAATGCTTAATTAATGGGCTACCATTGCCCCATTTTCGCAAGATGTAATCATATGCAAAGTGGAAGAGGTGGCCAAGTCTCCATTGCCTGCTTTCAGTAAAAGGCCACATAACGGCAGATATTTCTTTTCATTAGCGAGTATGAGGGAAATGCCTCCAAATATACATTGGAGTCTATGAAGTTTTCTAGCTACCTTGCAGCCAATCAAATGCAAAGTATTCGACTCGATTATGGCACCTAGTAATGACAAGCTATCTCATTTGTCAGCATTTTCTGTTCAAGCCTTAAAATACCAAGTTCTCCCTCCACCGAGTATACCCCACCGTTTTTCCTTCCAATCAGTGGAAAGACTTTAAGATTAGCATAGGTAATGGAGTAAAAGGGAATGGGAATTATAACCTTATTTACCAGCACCGCAGCAACAAATTCAACTTGAAGACGTTATCATAATTCAGGCTAAAAGACGTGTGGACTGTTTTGCGGGTAACATTTGCTTTCACTTGCCCTACGACGAGCCAAGTCGGAGAGGTCTACGCCAAGAAAGTCTAGTCCGTTTGGGGACAATTAACTTAAAATTCACATCCCTTACCTGTGACTCTATCTTCGATTCTTCATAAATGGCGAAATCCTGTGGGTAAAAGGGTACCCTTTAATGTGATTTCTATCGACGATTGACTAATGCTGGGGGGTGCAGTCCATTGCTTTTCCATACTTGTACACAACGATGAAGGATCTGAAAAAGCGGCACTGCTGATGTGAGTAGAATGGTTTAGCAACTAGCTATTCGGTTGTGGGCTTGTTATATTACTTTAATCTTAATGGCTGTGATGGAAAGCAGAGAGTTGCAGAAGAATAAGAATTCAGAGTAGATACATTCATTGCCTCGTTCCGGAGCACACATGGAGGTACGATTCGCATGCCGCTGTAGTATACGAGGATTCCCGCCTCTAATATATATGAGTCAATTTTTTATTGACTTTTAGACATGAAAAGGTTGTTACTATTTATAAAGTGAATCCTGATGAAGCCTTCGCAAATTAAGCGAGAAGCAGTGAGATTGCATGGTACAGATGCTTCCGGAATATCAATAATGGGTGCAGAAAGAGTTGTTTAGCTGGTTTATTTAAAAGTCAAAAAACTTTAAATAGGAACGTCTTCTGTGATTGTGAATTCCTCGATGTTATGTGTACTTCGGGTTTGTTCATATTCATTATTTATGTCAGTAGAACATATACCACAGGCGTTTTTTATTTCTCACTCATTAGGGGACGTCAAATTTGGGGAAAACTTTGCATAAAAGAAACTAGTTACTTCCTCAACTTAATTTGTGCGTAAGCACATCCTCTAAGGTAAACCTTGCAGAATAACAAGATGATTCAAAAATAAAAAACGTTCAGAAAATATTCTCTTCCAAAAAAAGCTAGTTACGATAGTGAAGAAGATTAGACGGCTTGAGCACCTTGACTCGACCCTATCATAGAGAATAACATCATTCCTCTGAGTAGTATCTCTTTCAAAGTTGTTGACTATACAAACTCGCGATGAACAAAAAAATCAATTTCTATCAACACAGTCTAGAAACTCCAATCTCCCCAAAAACTGAAGGAGAGGCATAACTGAACTGGCTGCGTTGCCGTTAGCATATTTGTGACATTGGGTTCAGGTGAGTAAATCAACCTAAGCACAGGTGTAACTCTAACCTGGAAAGTGAGATGATCCTCAGGTGTAAAACCGTTTTACAAAAGCAGACCTATTTGATACAAATGCAACATAACCTCAAGTTGCAACGGTTGAAGATTTTGTAAAATATCCTTGTCCTATTCTTCAATTTAGGTGAGTAGAGCTAAAGATAAGACTGGTATTTTGGTATTTTTAGTTGGTTACAAATAAACATAATAAAACTGAGGTATCTGCTTAACCTCCTCGGAGCAAATTTATGGACATTCAAGAATTCTCTCACTCGGTCATTCAAAGTGGAAATTCGACACTAAATGTTGTGTATTCTTGCTCACCTTTTCTTAGAAAAGATAGTTTTAAAATAAATCCACTAAAATTTTTTTAAAAATTGGAAAGACGAAATCACTGATAGATAGGATGGAATCTGAACTGGTGCACAGCCTAGTAGGCACGAATTCCAATTTGAGGCTTCCTTTTTAAAAAAAAGCAGCGAGGAGTTAAAAGAGGTTAAATCTAATGTACGCCAAAATTGACTTAGAGTTGGCTCTAAATTAAATTTTAAAGAATTAACTGCAAATTATTTAAAAAGCACAACTTTTGAGAGAAACAAAATATTTTAGTAAAATATGGTCTTTGCTTAAAAATAACTAGAGGAAACTTGTTCATTCTTTCAGATTTGACCTCTTGGATTCCAGCATGATTGATTTCACGCCTTCATTCACAACGATTTTTAACCAAAGGCGAGAGCATAAGTCAACTAATTAATGTCTTGGACGGGGATTTACCTTTTATTTAAAGACAATACTTGTCTTTGAAATCAATTTCCTTAATATGTGTATTAGGTCTAAAGCAGATGGTGACTACCTGAAGCTATTTGAGAAATAATATGAGTTGAAGTATGTTTCTGTGTATCGTTTATGGTATTTCACCAGATGCATGTTGGGCTGCACAAGCTCCTCATGATCTTCCGGCTATATCCATGGCCTCTCATCGGCCCCGGGTTCATGCTGTATTCGAGCAACGTACTGATGACAGCGGCAAGCAAATCAGATCCCAAAGAGCAGAGGTCCCATTTATTCACTTATTCGCCAAATATGAAAGAGGAGATGATGAATGCGCGCTAGTAAAAATATGTCTACCATTACTCACTTTAAGAAAGATGAACTGGCTTGAACTTTTGACAAGTCTTCAATTTTAAATCCCTGGCCAATGCGGGATAAGGAAGTATAATAATCCCTTTCCGATTACTATTGTCACATAAATACCAGCAAGTGCAACGACTTTTAGCATAAGCCCTACTTTGCCCTTTCAATTTCGGCGATGAAACAGTTTGCTTTGTGCAGAACTCGAAATTCATAATTGCTGGAAATTTATGGCGGTTCAGTGAAGGAGTAATGGGCAATAGTCATGAGTATAACACAGGAATCGCCTAAAAATTAGACCAAGCATGATAGCTCCAAGGCTGCAGCAGTTCTTGAATGCTTCTCTCAGCAGATTTACCGTTCTGTTCTAGTAGGTTACACTTCTTCACAAGTGAAATTAAATACTGACTGCGCCCGTACCAGTCCAATCCCTCTGCACACCAAATAGGCAATATCATTTTATGATCGTCAATAAATCAGAGCTGCGATAAACCCTTTAAAAGGTCTGCAAACCCCTAAAACCTCAAAGCCTTGGTCGTAAATGCTAGCGGTAAATTGACAATAAAATGCTCCAGCACTGCATTCTTTCACCCCAGATCATTCTTTTAATACCACCATCTTAAATAAAAGCAAGAGGACAGAGCTAAAACACCGGAAAATGGTTGTAAATCCTTTCTCATTTCATATGCTGCCGAGGCAGTAATTTCACATCCAGAGCGGAGTACAAAGTAAACAGTATAATTAGGATATAGTATGAGAACGCAATGAGTTGTATGTCAGTCTAAACCTTCCTTTTGGTGTCGTAGGTACCTTAGGCCCCTCACTTTCTATTTCTGCTAAGTGACTTGAACTTTGGACCATGCCACCGGCAATGAATATTTTGCTCATGCATTGTGGCCTCCTTCGTCTTCAAAGAAAGCTCTGAGAGTTGCAATAATGTTTGCTAATCAAAAAAATACTATCTGTCTTGTTTATTTTTTCGGTTCTTCCACGGCTTTTGC